GGGTGGGGTGGCGAGGGGCCGCGCTCCGGGGTGTTCGCTGCACACCCCCTTTGCCCCGGGATGGATGGACGGACGGATGGATGGATGCGTTCGGCACCCTCCCGCCTTGCCCTGAGCTCCCCGTGGCTTTCGGGGGGCCGGAGCCCCTCGGGATGTCCCTCTTTGGGCCCTTCCGCAGGGGCGGCTCCTCCACCTCGTTTTTGCCCTAAAACGGAGCGAGCCCGTGCGGCTCCTGCCGCTGCCCGGCTCTGCCTGCGCGGCGCTTCCTGCCTTTCCTTTGGCAGCTGGGGCAGAAGCTGAGGTCCGGTTTTCCACCCTGGGTGTATCCGGCTCAGCCCGGCTTCGGGAGAAACCCCTGGGAGCGATTTTGGCTCTGGCGGGGGCTGCGTGCCTTGGCACGGGCCGGGACAAGCCGGTGTGCGGCCCGGCGGGATGGCTCCGGGCGGGATCGGGGATATGGGGAGCACTCGGCTGGCACGGGCAGGGAAGGGCAGCCAATGTCCCCCGTCCCGGGACGCGCGGCCACTGGGGCAGACCTTTGGCACCGTGGGCCGTGTGCCAGCACCTGTGGGAGTCACCAGGATGTCCCGTGTAGCCTGGGAGGATCCACCTGGATGGGTGGGTTGGGATAGGGAGGAAGAAGCAGAGGAAGGGTTCGGGCTTGCTGAAGAGGCAGAGGTCCCTTAGGTACCCCCACTCAGCACCCCACTGGATGAACTCCCTTCCCATGTTTTGGGAGGAGAGGGGTTAAGCCAAAGCATCTGAGCTAAGCCCTGGCAGGAGGAGGCTAAAACCTCCCCAGAACAAAGCTCACAAGGTGGTGGTAAGCTGGTAAAACCTGTGGGAATGTGGGAGCCTTCGGAGGGGGAGCGGGGTCCTGGATGGGGAGCAGGGTCCTGGATGGGGAGCAGGGTCCTCCTGTGCCCCTTTTCCTCACAGTCCTGGCCCCAGGTTATTTTCGGAACAATTGCTTGGCCGGGCTTCAAAAATGTCCTGGGCTCTTTTTTGGAGGAACCCGGAGCCTGCGAGCTCTCAGCACGGGCTGTGGGGTATCCCAGGGAGATCCGGGAGCCCCTGGGAAGGGCAGCCAGGAGGCAGGACACACCTGG